TATGAGCAAGGCTACGAAAAAAGAAGAGCCCTAGCTTGCTTGCAAAAGCCCTCTCACAAACTGTGCAGCTACTTAGCCCAGGGCCTTTCAGAAAGCAGTATGAGAGAAGCACAATACTGATGGGTAGGGCAGCATGCACATGCCTAACTCCCTATACACATCACACTCACCTCAATGAATTTGAGTAATGAAATGCAGTGATGAGGAATGTGGGATTTTAGTGGCATCTTGGGACACCCATGGGTACTGCACAGAAGGCCTCTGAGGGTCATATGTACCTCATAGGTTGCTCACATGTGGCATAAAGGTAATGTTTCAAGACTGCCAGTAATGACTGGACTATCTGTGCTTTCTCTCATGGCTTTAAAAAGCAAAGATAGGTACCTAGATTGTATGGGGGGGGGTTCTGCCCACATAGAGTATCCCCAAGAGAAATTTACTTACCTGAGGACCCTTGCTACCTGCCTAAGGTAAGAAAAAGTGGCAGGTTTTAGTAGATTTTAATGGATCAACTTTCATTACCTTCAAATTTAAGAACATCAGTGGGCAAATATTTATACAATGGTACCTCGGGTTATAGACGCTTCAGGTTACAGACTCCACTAAGCCAGAAATAGTATCTAGGGTTAAGAACTTTGCTTCAGGATGAGAACAGAAATCGTGTGGCGGCGGCACGGCGGCAGGCCCCATTAGCTAAGGTGGTACCTTAGGTTAAGAACAGTTTCAGCTTAAGAACGGACTCCAGAACGAATTAAGTTCTTAACCCAAGGTACCACTGTATACATTGCTAATTAATATAATTAGCTAATTAATATACATATTACATGAGAGAAGTAACAATCCTACACATGTCTATGTGAAAATTAGGTCCTCAAAGGTCAATGACAGTTTTTATCTGGGATGTGTGTTAGCTAGACATATTTACTAGGGAGTAAGCTCTATTAAGAGGGACGCGGGTGGCGCTGTGGGTAAAACCTCAGTGCCTAGGACTTGCAGATCGTATGGTCGGCGGTTCGAATCCCTGCGGCAGGATGAGCTCCCGTCGTTCAGTCCCAGCTCCTGCCCACCTAGCAGTTCGAAAGCACTCTTAAGTGCAAGTAGATAAATAGGGACCGCTTTATAGCGGGAAGGTAAACGGCGTTTCCGTGTGCTGCGCTGGTGCTGGCTCGCCAGCTGCAGCTTCGTCACGCTGGCCACATGACCCAGAACTGTCTTCAGACAGCGCTGGCTCACGGCCTCTAGAGCGAGATGAGCACGCAACCCTAGAGTCGGACACGACTGGCCCGTACGGGCAGGGGTACCTTTACCTATAAGCTCTATTAAACACAGTGGGACTTTCTTCTGAGTAAATATATGTAGGAATGAACTATAAACAACATATCTTACTCATGAAGTACAGTATTCCAAGTAGCCCAACTGAAATCATGGAACTTTTTTTAAAAAAAAAAACCTAGTTCAGTGAATTTGTTTAAAATAAAGTTACATTGCTAGAACATAAAGTTACATTACAGCAGGCAACTTGCTCCAAAGCTTACGAACTTTTACCAATTATATATTGAATATATCTTTCTTCTACTTAAAACCCATTGACCTGCAAACTAAATAGTCTTGAGGATGGCCTTCAAAAACATACCCCCTTAATCTTCTTTTTGTTATGATGAAAATACCTTTAATCTCTCTCACACACACTTTCAGCCTAACTTTTATCCTGCTTCAGAGGGAGCTTTATCAGAAGGAGTTGCAACTTCAGAATGCACAATTTAAGCCCAAAACAATGCAAGTCAGAACATCCCATCAGAAAACATGCTTAGTCTTTAAGATCTCATTCCACTGCTTCTTCAGAACTTTCAGTAACTATACCTTAAAAAACTTTGTGCACTTGAAAGTTATTGTCAAGAAGCTAACATTCTGCAGTAAGAAAGCTTCATTTTCTACAGTATGTTTTTAATGTAAGAACACTAGTTTTGTGATCGTAAGACGACAGACTGAAACTAAGGACCTGCAGCAAAATGTTTTGGCATAGGGGTACTCCTGTTCAGGATTGGAGCAGAACAACAATTCTCCCAGAATGCTCCATTTCATTTCTTCATCACCACCCCTGTTAGCCATCCACTGACCATGCTCAGTCCTCATTGGGCTATTTTGGGGGTTTCTTCCCAGGCCCATTTGAGCTAATGGAATAATGCCTCACCAAACCTTGGCTCCTCTCCACCCCTGGAAGCCTGCTGATACCTTCCTCTTGTAAATAGATGGGTGCTGTTTGGCCTACCTAAAGGATCCACACTTAAGAGAACTGAGTTTATTATTAGAATTTGGGATTCACAATGGTTCTCAGGAACTGATTCACAAAACTGCTGTTCAAAAATTAATGATATGTATTGGCCATCTGAACAACATACCTTCACATACAAGAAACAACATGCATCAAAACCAAGCCCTAGGCAAAGGCAACTACAGTAGGTGCACTCTTACATATCAGATCAATACAAAGACTCTCATGCTTCTTAAAACGAAGGAAAAGATACACAGATGTGATGTAGTATTTACACAGTTCAAATAATTGAACACAGTTGCTAAATGCATGAAAGGTAGAACAATAACCCTCAACACTTTATTTAATTTCAAGGAACCAAGCTGCAATCTTTAAACTATTAGGCATATATAACCCTAATTCACTTACTTGGAGGCAAACTACATTCAAATTAACTGGGCACAGCCAAGTCTAGTGTGAAGGAGTGTAATTGGTATGAATGCTTTTCATAGATTTGTGCATTACAGTCTAAATATGAATAAATCACAAAATATATTGATCTAGCATTCAAACAACTGAATCCACTGTGTGGATTTAGTTTGGGTTTTTTTGCACCAATTTGTTTTGAGCTTGGAAGAGTATATTTCAAGAACTGCAGGACGCAAACTTAATAAATGCAATTGTCTTCTCTGTTAACTTCACATTGATTTTTAAATCCTGTATAACAGAGAACTAGGATCAGGACTTCTGGTGTGGTGCCAGTTCAAGGCATCTGCAAGTCAAGTCATGTATTTGGAATAGAAAATACACCTGTTAAACTCTCATAAACATAACTAACTGGAGAGTTCTAATTCACATGAATTGTTATGACAAAAATTTAAAAAGAAAATGCTACAGTGAATTTAACACAGTGGTGACCAACCAACAAACAAGTTCACTTGGTGGACTTTCCACCTCTTGTCTAAAGAGTGAGTGCTAGGCAGGGAGGCAGAAGTGTACAAAACTGGGCAAAAGGACCCAAGTACATCTTAACATCCCACTTCCTGAACCACTTTTGGAACCCATGTTGCAGACTGGCTATCCAATGATTTAGAACATACTTGTGAAACATTTAGCTACAATAGCTGTCTATTATAAACTATTTTCTTTCCTTGTATCATACAACTTTCATTTTATAGAACTGTATTGGAAGACAGGAGTGTCTGGCGTGCTCCGGTCCATGGGGTCAGGAAGAGTCGGGCACGACTAAACAACAACATTACCAACCCATTTCTTTTACTTTTTTTACCTTTTACAGAACCAATGAATACATCATCATACTGGATTTATCAAACCAGATGTATCAATTTTCACCATACAAAGAAACAAACAAAAAACAGCTAGTCACAAATGAATGTCTTGCCTCATTAAAGCTAATTTATTCCTGGATATGTGACTGAACAAAACAGGTGCTCCAACCACCACATTCAAACACCAAAACCTCAAACGTCCAGAGACACTGAGGTTGCAATCCTGCAAGTAAGCCCCATTGAATTCAAAAGGACTTCTGAGTAGACATAGCCACAACTGCACTGCTGCACTCATTTTAGGAGATTTATACTTTACATTTTATAAAATTTCATTTTTCAAAAACTGGCAGTCCACTGCTTGGAACCAAGGCCCACTGATCTTATTTCCAACCAAGTCAAATGTGCCAAGAAGTAACTGCAACTGCTACTGGGTTACCTATTCACTGTAATATTGAATACACTGCAGAAAAGTAGCACACACCGCACTACTGGAGCTTGATTAACACTTCTAATTATGACGGCTATCAACTCCTTTAATATTTATTGCTTATTTTGGTGGCTGCAGTGGAAAGGATATGAAGTAATTCTGTTAATTAAAAAGCAACACTACAAATGAAGGGCCTCTCCCCTACATAAGTAGCACCACTCACTCCAGGAAGACAACCAAGCACAAAAACTTACACCAAGATCGGAAACGGAAAGGTGAGAAAGGACAACTTAAAAGTGCCAAAAGGCTCCTAGCAAACGACCAATCCCAGGATCCTTTAAAAAAAGAAAAAAAGACCCCTTCTCCAAATGGTAGCAGGCAGAGAAGAGAAGCAGCAATGGAAACGACCTATTGTTAACTTGGCCATTTCCACGGCTGGCAAACAGCTCAGGCCGAGTTATTTAATTACTTAAACCTGGGGCTTATTTTTTAAAAAAAGTTATGTAGTGAGACACAACGGGTCGCTTTTCGGGGGGGGTGGAACTGGAGGCGTCGATTCTCCGTCGACACCAAGAACTCCGGGACCGGCCGACTTCGCTTCTCTTCAGCAGCCCGATCCTATACTTAATCCGGAGTGAATCCCACCGAGCTGAACGGGGCTCACTCCCGAAGGAGCGTGCGCACCACCCGCTTTAAGGAAGCCTTTCTTAAGTTTTAACCTTTTGTTGTGCGAGTGGCTGGGGCAAGCCAGTCAGATGGGTGGGGGTACAAATAAAAATGTATTATTATTAAATTCAAGACGGGGAGGGCAGCCTTTCCCTCAGGGCCACCGGCCAGGCCTCCTCTGCACCGGTTGCGAGGGGGAAGCAAACGCACTCGCGTCCACACGTCTCCCCTTTCAGACGAGGAGGCGGGAGGGCGAAACCCGAGGGAGGCCTGCCTGCGGACTCCACACCTTCCCCCGCCGCCATTTAGTCGCCTCCCTCACCTCTCTCCCCTCCTTCCCCGCCGCCACACACCGCGCCCCACTCACCCGCGTCGGGGGCCCGTCATCCTCCTGGCCAAGGGGTTTCCTTTCTGCCCCCCACCGGAGCGGTCCGAGCTTGAGAGGCGGGTCAAGAGGGTCGTCGTTTGGGGAGGGGAGAAGAAGGCGCCCTCCGCCTCCTCACCGCCGCTTCGGCCTTGCGACGCGGCTCTGGGCTAGACGGCGGGAGGCGGGGAGCCGAGAGGGTGGCTGGGCTGCCCCACAATACACAGGCGCGCAGGCCTCTCTCTCTCGCCTCCCGCTCACTCGACGCCCGGGCTCGCCGTTCCCCTCAGATCCGCGCGCGTGCGCATGAGAGTGCCCTAGGCGCGCGCGAGCGAGATAGATATATATATAATTGGGCAGAGGGGTGAGCGAAGACGACGAAGGGGCTTCTCGGGAGCGAGCGAACGCCCGGATTATTCCAATCACGGCCGCTGCCTCTGAAAGCAGCTGCAGCAGCAGGAGCCGCCACGGAACGGGAGGCGGGGAGAAGAGAAGAGAAGAGAAGAGAGGCGGCAGGGCGTCCAATAGGAGGCCGAGGAGGGGGCGCGCGCTCGCTCGCTCGCGCGCAGGGGAATAAAAAAAAAAAGAGGTGTGGGAGGGGGAGAGAAGAGACGGACGCCGCCGCGCGCTCTTTCTCCTCGCTGGCAGGCACCGTCGAGGTGTCTGTCTGTTTGTCTGTCTCGCTCTGGCTCCCGTTCTCCTCGCGTTTCCTCGACGGAAACCCGCCGAATAAGACGGGCGTTAGTTAGACGCCGCCCGACGCCGTCTTGTTACTTCTTTTCCTTGCCTAGTACGGGCAGCAACCTGGGCTCGTTCGGCGGCGCTCGGCACCTCCCCGCCCCTCCTCCCGAAGGAGCGGCCGAACGCGCGGCGGAGATTGCCGAAGGCCCCGAGGCGCTGTGGATAAAGGGGCGGGGGGCGGGGGAACATTCCTCCGCCATCTCCCTTCCCTGGAAACCCTCGACGGGGGTGGGGACGTGTTTCCTTACTGCACCAAATCTCCTCACCTACCTGATACGTGGAGAGGGAGTGTCGGATTAACGTATAAGCTAAACAAGCTATAGTTTAGGACCCCACTCTCTTGGGGCCCCCCCAAAAAGAGAAAAGAAACCTGGGTGTACATTTCCAAAATATAAGATAAAAAAACAAATAAAATAAAACCTACGTACAGCGACAGTGTTTTGTGTTGTGTTGTGTAGTAATGATGTAAGTAATGGGCACCGCCTGCTCCCTAAAATATCACTGGTTTGCTCATTTCTATATACAGTATAGGGTGCCTTCTCATGGACTGGTTGCATGGCAACATGTGCAAAAGCTTTAGATACCTATTAGGTCCATAAAAATCAACAATTTGTTGTTGACAAAGGAGAGCTGGACATTATAAAGGGCCCCATTACCTTCAGTAGCTTAGGGCCTCGTCAAACTTAAATCCGGCCCTGAGTCTCCCTGATGTGATTCAGTCCAATATCCGCCCCCCCCAACTTGGTATTACAGGATGCAGAAAGCGCTGACTCTGCCGTCGTTTGTTGAAGCTGTGCTTCCTATGAGAGTTGTGAATGCGAATGCTGCCCTTCAACCTTGTTTGCAAGGGGCTGCCAACGCACCTGTACGCATATAGGATTGTAGAGTTTGGAAGGGGGCACCCCAGAGTCATCTAGTCCATTTGGCCCCATGGGGTGCTTAAGATCCACAACCCTGAGATTACTAAGAGTCTGATGCTCTACAGACTGAGCTATCCCAGCTGTCCCACCCTCTATAGACATTTCCCCAACTGACAGATAATGCTCTAGGTGTGGGTGTGCAATTCCGGTCACCACACCTCAAAAGGGATTTGTGAAGCCGGGAGAAGTGCAGAAAGCAACCCAAAATGAGGGAAGCAAGTTAATTCCCCTGCGAAGGAAGGAAGGTTGTTCTGGCCCTTTCAGCTTGGAAGAAGAAAATAAAAGAGAGCCTTGGAGCCAACTCCTAGGGGCCAAGTTGGCTCCTTCAGCCCACCCACCCCCAATGAAATATTTGAGGTGGCCAGGGCCCCACAATGTTAATGGGCATTGCCATTCAAATACTGTGTGTGCACCGCATCTTGTGATCAATTTTGCAAGGCAGGGCTAACTTGCACCCCCACCCCCACCCCTATTTTATTCGAGTTGGCACCCTTGAAAGGGATGTGGAGTTGTGTTGCAAGGCCAGAGGCATAGAAAAACACTGCACAGTGTGAAGAAAAGTGAACTGTGAGATCCTGGAATAAGGCCTGAATTGTCCAATGAAGTTGAATGGTGGGAGATTCTTCACGCAGCCCATAGTTGAACCTAGAAATTGCTGTCACAAGATTTAGAGACGAGCCACCAAAACTGTTATAAAGCACCATTGATGTTCCATCTGTTGCTGCTAGGGTGGTACAGTGGAACTCAAATTTGATCAGTGAGTATGATACAAAAGTCTCTGAGATATGTAAGACCCACATTATTAAAGGTTTATAGGTTGATAACGAGTGCCATGAAATATTCTTAGAAGCCAAGAATCTTTTAAAATACGCAGTGGATTCCCGGGCCATGGGTTGTCAGTGATGTCAAGCAAAACATTTACGTATTGTTATTTCCCACCCCCTCTTTTGTTATACTTATGAAATAATGTTGATCTCATTATAAGAAAACTCATTACCCCAGAGTTTGATTAATCCTATCTTACTGGACTAAGTTCTGTAGGACAAACAGTTATCATTAATGGCAAAGCTTGCATCCATGAGACCCATTTCTGGTTTGCATTTACCATATATTACCATTTTTATGTATATTTTATGTAAGCCGCTTAGGGCTTTTGATGATTAAGTAGTATATAAGTAATAAATTAGGGGACGCGGGTGGCGCTGTGGGTAAAACCTCAGCGCCTAGGACTTGCCGATCGAAAGGTCGGCGGTTCGAATCCCCGCGGCGGGGTGCGCTCCCGTTGCTCGGTCCCAGCGCCTGCCAACCTAGCAGTTCGAAAGCACCTTCGGGTGCAAGTAGATAAATAGGGACCGCTTACCAGCGGGAAGGTAAACGGCGTTCTGTGTGCTGCGCTGGCTCGCCAGATGCAGCTTTGTCACGCTGGCCACGTGACCCGGAAATGTCTCCGGACAGCGCTGGCCCCCGGCCTATAGAGTGAGATGGGCGCACAACCCTAGAGTCTGGCAAGACTGGCCCGTACGGGCAGGGGTACCTTTACCTTTAAGTAATAAATTAAGTCTTCCACTGCGCCTGCTTTTTCTTCAAACATTGTGGCCAACTTGCGGTGCAACTGGCTCAAGGGAAGGGGAGAAAATAGGTGTACTGCATGCAAGGTTGATATCCCAGCACAATGGGGGGGGCCTTTCCTTTTCTTGCCTAATGCTCAAGAATGGTGGGGTCTAGCTGCAAATACAGCATTGCTCTGCTACTTGGAATGTCACCAGCCAGTCACCCACCCCTGACAGGTAAGCTCACCAACAGATGAAGGGGCCTACCAGAGGATACTTTGCACTTGCTCCCTTCAAACCTGGTGTCAGCCATGTGTGTGCAATCTAGAGTGGGAAAGCTTTTTGGGTCAATGGGCCAGATATGTATCTCCTCCCACTCCACTGGTCAACTTTAACAGATGTCGTGATGGCAATGTGCAATCCTTACCCCTCCTAATGCTCTCCCCCCCCTGCAGTTCACCTCCCCAGCCACATTTTCCACAGTGGATGTCCCTAAAAGCGTAGCCCAAAATTCTGGGCGTGGGAACTGCTAAGTGTTAAACTTCTCCTCTGCAAATGCCAGCCCTGGTGCTGCCATTTTGCGGGCAGAGAAGCATCTTTGCTGCCAAACTAGTTTCATCCCTTGCAAGTTATTTGCGCGGGTGTCTTCACTCACTTCAGTGAGGGGGGCAGTTCACACAGTGCTCTCATGGTCAAGCCAACAGTGTTTGGGATTGCACAAATAATCCCATTTAGCAGTTTTAAGGTTTCTAGAGTGCATTCTGTGTTCCGGGGCAGTTTAGAGGCACAGGCCTCTTTGTGTGGGTGGGTGTGGAAGAGTTGTTCAGATTATCCTGAACTGAGATAGTATGTTGAAGAGATCTTCTGTATCTTCAAAGTAAACTAGGTGTGTTTCTAGTGCTAAGGTGGCAGATCAATGAAAGGCAAAGAACAATTCCTGTTGCATTGGGTAGAGGTGAGGTTTATTTTTTTTAAAAAAGGGGGGAGGAGGAGGAATAAAGCAGAATGAATTTGGGTAATCAAGTGACCTTTATGTTTAGGAATGCTATTTTATTATAGAAGAGTTCTTTCAAAACACGACAGTCTATAAAGTACATTAATTTTATTTTTATTATTTCAGATCTCCCTGGCTTGATAATGTCCATTGAAACACCAATTTCACATGGTTTGTTCCTCTACCACATTAATACTGTATATATATATATATATTGACAAGCCTCATGTGGGTATGCTGCAGACAGCATTAGAAAGTGTCGTTGCGGTTTTGGCAGCAAATGTTGTGAAAGCGAGTTGCATTGTCTGTGAAATCTACTGTAGAAGAACTCTTAGGTTGTGCTAACATGCTTTCTCTTCTCCTTCGCAACTGGCTAGAAGATTGTTGTCCAGGACATAGTGGCACTTTCTCATGGCAGAGTGCCCTCTTTAGTCGAGCAATTTCTAAAGGGTGCCTGATTGGGAATAAATGCTCGAGGCACTTGAAATTGGCAGCTGGCCTCCAACAGAATTCTGTGGGAAACACTGGCGTATATTGTCAGAGGTCCAATCCAATATTGTAAGCTAGCAGGCGGAATGAAGAGCTGCTGCTTCAGCTGGGGAGATGATAGCTTTGGCCTTGAGAGCAGTACTCTCAATACAAGAGTGTTTGAAACACTTCGTACACGCTGTGTTCTCAGCAACCCCCTACAGTTCTATTCATTTTATTCTGTCTGCAGTTCTTTTACTATTCTTTTACGATGTATTGTTTTAGATACTGCAAGAAGCCTGGAGAATCAATTACCAAAATACAGGGCAAGGATGTTTTAAATAAATAGTTAAATACAATAAATTAATTAATATCACACTGTAAGAAAGTCCGTATCTGTTATGTACTGAAGTTCTCACCCTGGGCCAGCAGATAACTGTAGATGGTTATGCAAATAAGGGATCGAAAGTGACGTTCAGTGATTGGATAGTTTTAGAAAATTGTTACAGTTACGTTGTACTGGAGCTCTATAGAAGCAGGCTGACTGAACCCTTCAGTTCAGTTCTGTTCTGGCCTGTGAATAAACAAGAGCTGTTTGAAGAATCACTGTGTCATCTGATATGTTCACCCACAACTTAATAGTATCGCCCCACGTTGCAGACTGGGTGGTGGGTGGGTGATTGCTGAGAGTTCGTGACTGAGATGAGATATGAATTAATGTCTTTATGGCTCACAGCTCACACTCTTGCATGGCACCATTTCTACCGGATCCCCATTTCACACATCAGCTAGTACTAATTAACACAGAATAATGTTTCAGTATGAATCTTAGCTAGGGAACGAGGGGACTTTGTGACTGGCCATTTTTTCCTCCTTGCATTGCTGGTATCATTGAGTGGTTGCTTTACACATTACAGCTTTCTTATATGGAGGGGGGATTGGAAGAAAAAAAATAGACGCTTGTGTTAGTATACAAAGTGGGTTGCAAGTATATATGCATTTAAAGGTGCAGTTACACCAGTCAAGATACTGTTTCCCATAAATACTTCAGGAATAGTCTTCATGCAGAAAAATTGTAATGTGTAAACCAGTCCTGAAATCCAAGTACAGGAAAGTAAAAGCAAGCATGCAGCAGAGGGAAGGCAATGATTATTTTATTTCCCTTTTGTTTATGTGGGGAGGGTGTGGGGAGAGAAAGAATGACTGAAATAGACTTGTCCAAGGTCACTTAGTGAAGCATGGTGGAGGTTAACTCAGATTCCAGACTTCCCTGTTGCAAGTCTGGTACTATCTGTAACAAAGAAAATGCCAACTTTAAGGGTTTTGCATTTTTTACATTCTGTTTTAATATGGATAACAGATTTAAACAATAGAATGGGAAGTCTGTGTTATCTCTCCCAGACAGTAATGTGAAAAGTCTTTTCCTATGAAGTGCCTCAAATGGTGGAATATGTGATGGGCAAAAAAAAAAAAGGGTGTGTGTGTGTTAAAACAAGTTCAGTTATAAACCTTGATGTGGAGTGCTGTGTTGTTCTTCTTTTGTAAACCAATGGTTGCCCCAGTTTGACTGATCCCACAAACCTCTTATTTCTTCATGAAGAAGTGTTTTTGCTTATCTATCAAATACTTTTTTTAACAAGTATGCTATCCTAAACTTACTTACTAGGGAGTAAACCCCATTGAAGGCAGCGGTGCTACTTCAATCTAAGAAAACATACTTAGGATCGCACAGTTAACTGCTTATCTTTTTTCTAATTCTAAATGCTATCAACTGAAACCTAGTGTAGGATAACCAGCCTCATATAACCAAAATGTTTATGTCTAATTCATGCATGAAGGGGTTAACGCCATAGAGTAAACTGTCCTGCCAGGCTTAGCAAGGTCATTCATCATCACCTTGAGAGGAGTAGTCTATGCTAGATGAAGTGGGAAACTTTGGAAGGAATTTAGAAGGGCATATTTTAAAGGTCTAACAGCCTATATTTCCATTCTTTACTTTGCAGCATATTTTTGTGATTTCAAATCACTGCTGGGGTTCCCCAAACCTGGATCTTGCGAGAATTCTCCTTTTATTTACCTATTTCCTTGCCAACCAACACTGAGCTTATTTCCAGCTTCATAAGCCCTATAGGCCTTGCTCGGTTTAAGTGCTCCAGTTGTCCATTTTACAGTTTGCATGTTGGATAAATTATTACCAGCTATATGACGAAAGTGATATAATTGCTTAATAGCGGGAGCAAAAATTGCACGACAGTATTTTTTATATTCCAATTAATTACGTTTTATGAATCAGTGTAGCATTTGCTCTGTTAACAACTACCTTAAAACCTGAAAGCAAAGAATCAAACTTATTTTATCCCTTTGCTTTAGTGCATGCATGCTTGCACTTTTCTCTCTTCTTTCTTTACATGCCCAGAATAGTGATAAAGCATTGTAAATGAAACGCTCAAGATTTTAAAAATCGCAGCACAACCGCTAGAGAAGTTTATGACACGATCCAAAACCTTAAACAATAGTTTCTGTTGCAAACGCAGCCACAGGAAGCTCAGCTGTGCTTCTCTTACAATTAATTGCTTCCGCTGTATATAAAATTGAAAGTATTGGGCACTCTGGTGCGGAAAAAGGATATCCTCATACAGTGCTCCTATTTCCTTACCAAGGGCTATTACTGAGCCTTTCACCATTAATCCATTTATAATGAATTATCCTGTGATGACAAAAGAGAGGCTGAAACAGAAGGCCAACTATGACCCTTAGCGTTTTGCATTTTTGTGCTCTTTTCCATTTGGATCATATTTACAAAGTGCACCTCTGCTAGAAGGTGTTTACTTTTAGGACTTCAGAACTTTAGAAAGAACAAGGGCTTAACTCTAATCCTAGAATTGCCATCAGAAACATGAACTTTGGGGATGGGGCAGAGGGATAAGCAGCCAGGGAATGGGAACTGGGGTAAGGGTTAAGCACTCCTTCCCCCCTCTCTTCTCTGCTCAAAATGGCCTCACAAAGCTACTTTTCCTTACAAAAAGGGCTACGATTATGCATTTGTGCATAATTTGGAGTTTGTCCCTTAGCCTGCCTTTGGAATAATCGCTACAAATTCCCGTTTTGTTTTTAAATGTCTTTATACTGCTATTTTATTGGTTCCTGGTTGCACTTTTGTTTTATTTTTAAATGTATTTTTATACTGTAAAAATGCTTAGAGATTTTTTTAAAAATTAAACATTTTATAATGCTTTAACAAAATAAATAACATGACTTGAAGTAGGCATGTGTATAATATCCGTGACATTCCCTCCACCCCCGATTCTGTGTCTGGAGTAATTCATATGCATCAACCAAATCTGTAACTCTTTAATAGGCATAATCCATTTAGCCTCTGCTACCCAGGGTTCTGAAGAATTCTGAATTATTTATTTTGCAAGGGCTACAGGATGGGAGGCAAAATGCAAGAGAAATGGAAGAAATGCCAAAGGTTGAATATTACCTGCTTCACAAATAACAGTAAACCATGGCTTTTAAAACCATGGTTTACCAAACCATGGATTAGTGTTATGTGTGAACTCAGTCCAGCAACTGAACTATGTCTTATTAAATATGTGTAAAAGTCACTCATTAAGCAAGGTTTGTAGCTGGCTCCTAAATCTTAGTCAATGTTAACCATAGCTTAGTGCTACAGGCAAGCCCAGACCTCCTCTTTAAATATGTTTAAGGAACTGTCAACCACCCAAAGGCTATACAACCATGAATGAAAAGGGGCAAAAAATCCAAATGCCTCAGCATTTTGGTTAATGTTAACCAAGTTGTAATGTTATGTGTGAACCTATGTATCTCAGAACTACTTTTCATAAAACAGTTGAAAACAGAAGATGGCTTTTTTAATGAGAGTATTCCTGGCTGATAAATTTTCTTTCATTCTCTATAAAGTTGAGAAAGAATTTTCACAGCGTTGGGTCCTTTTTCTTTTTTCTTTTGAAGGGTGCAGAATATTTTATTTGTGTTGGCACATATAATCCATGCAAAGTATATTCACTCACACCTCACAAATCACACATTACAATGAACATCTGAAATAAAAACCTAGGTGTTCAAAACCAAACCCATATGTAAAAGTAAGGTCACTTGTGGTGTCAAATCAATATTTCCATACATTTTAAAAAAGCAAGATGCATAGTGTGATTGCTGCAGAGACCAAATCACAGAGCTGCAAATGCTAATAACTTTCATTTTTTTTAACAAAATATCAGCACCTATTACCAGGCCTTCCTATTTAAAATTACGTGACCTAGCAGCAGATGCTGTTTTTTAGTTACTGCTGCAGCATCCATGTTACTGAATACAGAGCGAGCTTTGAAATAAATATTTCATCCAAGCTACTGACCGCTGAAGGACCAAACCTGTGCCATTTGCTTGTGTGTATTGGTTTTATTTTTGTAAACTTGATTTTTTGCATGCAGTGGTAAATTACATGAAATGCTTTTCTGAACGTCTATGACTTATGCAACATGTATTGTCCTGGAGGCAAACAGATTAAAAGCCAACTACAAAGGGGTTGCAAATCCAGATGGAAGGTTTGCCATGTGATTCAACAGGATGTGGATTGCACCCAAAGTTTTAAATAGATATTGGTGAGTTTCAACTTTAGAAAAAATAAAAGTTATAGTGTTTACTTAAATATCATTTGATATAATTTATCAAATCCCCTAAAATGATTTAATGCAACTTTCACCATTTGGTCATTCACAGGTACAGTATTTGACTTCTAGGAATAAAAGAAGCAAAAAATAATCACCACTCTTGCTAGTGAAACAAAATAGGAACAAAATTATTTTAGTAGGTAATAGTTATAGGTTACAAAGACGCTGAACAGCTGAACCTGCCTAGTGTTTTCCTTCCCTCAGTAGTTAATTTTCTACTTGACTATAGGCCCTACTCTGTATTACACATGCATATTCTTTTTCTTAAAAAGAGTGGTCTTGGCGTGGCAGATATGTGAGATACTACTTAAAGTTAACTCTTTGATGCTAGATACATTTACTGAGCAGTAAGAGCCACTGCAGATGTTCCTTTCAGGCAGGCATGGCCAAACTTGGCCCTCCAGATGTTTTGGGACTACAACTCCCATCATCCCTAGCTAACAGGACCAGTGGTCAGGGATGATGGGAATTGTAGTCCCAAAACATCTGGAGGGCCAAGTTTGGCCATGCCTGCTCAGGGCTTTGCATGTGAGAATTATTTATTTATACCCCACATTTTCCTGTCTTACAGATAAAACAGGAACAAGATAAATGGGTAATGAAAATGGCTGACTTGCATGAGTCATGCAACATGGAAAGAAAAAACCCCCTTATCTTATCCCCTTATCTGCAACGGTTTTCTAGTCGCAGAAAGGCAGCCACAATCTCCCATTTGTGCCCTCCTGTATTCTACTACTCATTTGTGCAGAGCAGCTATTTCTGCAGGTAAACTAGTTACAGCAACACCTGCCCTGGCTCTGAGCAGCCACCAGCATCAATGGAACCCTTTTCAAGTCAAACGTGTTTAGGGTCACACTCTACAACTACCACCTAACATGCAGAGACTTCTGGCAGAGACGTATACAAAGGGGTATTTAAATAATGGCAGGACTGTGGCAGAAAACAAAGGGGCAAATGCACTTAGGAACCACTTAGGAACAGCGGAGCAGGTGAGAGATGCTCACCCTTGTGGTTTTAGTCATCCAAACCTTACTGGAAGAGCATGGGATCCAGTCGCGGGGCAGCAACAGCAATGCTACCCCTGCAACTTAAGAATGGGCCCTAAGTGACAACTGAGTGATTAATGACAGAGTTGTCAAAGTGCAGTCAACCCATGATCTATTGTAGGGTTTGTCATTCTGTTGTGAAGCAATAAATGTAGCTCACTGTCATTTTATTGGTAGAAAGTGCCCGCCAGAGATAATCTGAAGTGGATAAAAGAGCAGTGTGATAATTGAGTCCTATTTGTGCGTGGTTGACTTCTCAGATCACAGAAAGTTTCACTGCCACCAACTATTCTAATTGTCTCCGGTTCCTAAGATGTAAAGAGAAAACCAGCATGACTCGTATATAATTTTTTTTTTTAAAAAAAGTTTGACTAAAATGCTAGAGATTCTTTTAAAAGAACAATTAACCACACAGTTCTGCAGTCCTTGTTAAAATGACAAGACCAAGAAGAATTAAAGTGCTGTACTTGCATATATTCTGGAGGTCAGATATGCTTAACTATCCAACATAGAGACTGAGGAAAAGGAGCAAAATGTTGCATACAAAAACATTAACCTTGTGGTTTGTCCTCCAGTCTAAGGAAAAGGGGGAAATCAGGGCAGGATCCTGCAAAAGTTGAGCACCTTTAAGTCAAATTGATTTGACTTAAAGCATATGCTAAACCAGGGTTTCCTAAAACTTGGGTCTCCAGCTGTTTTGGGACTACAACTCCCATCATTCCTAGCTAGCAGGTGGCTAGTGGTCAGGGATGATGGGAATTGTAGTCAAAAAACAACTGGAGACCCAAGTTTGGGAAACTCTGTGCTGAACATTCTCCTGCAGAAATCAAAAGTGGTCTTAAAAGTGCATTCCATAACTTATTTATTTTAAAAAGGCATAGTGTTTGAGAGCAAGATAAAGCAGGCCCCCCCAATTTTTTGACATCTAGTAAATAATAAAACACTACTTAAAAGGGGGTGCTATTTAAATACTCAATAGTCCAATAGTCAACATCCTTAAAATCAGATGGTTCTTTTCCCTTTTCATGAATGCTAAGTATGTGTTACTATAACCTTCAATTCCAAAGCTATTTACTGGAGGGTATAACACTGGGATGATTTCAAAGTAAATGGCTTCAGATTATGACCATTTTGCGCACTCAGATGTTACTAACACTGACATACTCCTTCCATGCCTAGATCACAGATTAGAATGCTCCTCTTAGTAGACAGATGCTTGATACTAACTGCTTAAATATCCAAACCTACAGACGGAATAAATACATGCTGCCAGTCTCAATAATACAAAAGCTACAATAAGTATACTTGTTCAGATATTGTGCATGATTTGTTCAAAAGGCGTTACACTAATACTACTCTAATTTCCAAAAGCTTCGTTTTCTTGCAGCAGCAAACACAATCACACCAGAGGTGACGTTATCTAAGAATCTAATCACAGTTAGAACTGAGCATGCAGGTCATTCAGGGCTGCCCTGTGAACGGTATCAGTTTTAGCAGAAACAAGGGTTTGAATTGCCTCTGGCTGCTCTGGACTCCATTGTCCTTTTGGGAGCTGAGATTACACTATCTATTTTCCCTGCACCCATAAGATGAGAGGACAAGCAAGAGGAAATGTTTCTCAGCTACACAGAGAAATACAGAGCCGATCCTCTCCAGGCTTTCCTCTTTCCTTATGTAGCAGCAGACTGGGGAAAACTGGTTCCCTTGTGATGCTCTGAATGAGGTAATCAGCTAAAACTCTTTAATGCTATATGCTCTCTGTTGCTTCTCCTCTTCTCAACGGGAATTATAGTCAAGCAGCTTATTTCCTCCCCACTCGCTTGCTCGCTCTTCCTACCAACCACCCCAATAGACAATTCCCTTCATACATATCCAGAGCCTTGTGGTGACAGCTTCTCTGTAGCTCTATCCCACAGGATTGCTTCATGCATGTGAACACCGTAACAACTTGGGCAAAGCTGACTGCGTGGTTTTCCCTCCCTCCCTTGCACGACCGCTACCCAAATGCCACTCTCCTTTCTGGTGGGAAGACTCACGCAATGAGCCCTGTAGATGTGGTTGCGGTATAGACACGCATGTGTCATGGCCATAGCATCACACTGAAATGGCTACCATGCAAATTCAGGTATGGGCAAAATAGGCCTGAGCTTACTCCACACTCTATCCCAACTAATATCAGGGCCAATTCACAGTCATGGCAGCAAGGAAGCTGCTGCCCCAAGGTGGTCTTGTGTTGCTCCAACAATGCAATGAGATGCATGGGAACCCAGGATGTGGCTTATTTCTATTCAAGTATTCACCAGCTGGGAGGGAGCACAATGCTCATGCAGGGAAAGGACCACATCATTGGTCCCGCCTTCCAGGATTCCTCCATATTCAGTTACCAGGGTGATGTGGAACTGTACATACTACAAGGAAGACAGTTCCACATCCGTGTGATGAAGTGTGGACATGCCCTTTTCTGTGTTCTGATTGCAAGCCTTGATTACGTTAACCAATGGGGTGTGTTTAGTTAAGGCTATGAGGTTCATAAAAGTCATTCTAGAGTCTAAACTGTGTTTGTTTTGTGAGGAACACTCAGTTGGCCTATCACTATCGACTATAAAAGTTATGCTACGCCTACTATTTTGACACTTTGAGTTGTAAAGTAATACTAATAATGGTGGTTTTTTTAAAGCACTGTTGTGTAGTATAAGCTTTAAGTGTACGGTGCTGAACACACACACACACGAAGATATTCAGTATTTGTAATTTTATGCAACCGTTTTATAAATGATTCCCCCCCCACCCATTCATTTTGCTCAAACCTTTGCAGCAATGTTTCACTGTCAAGTTTTGAATATTCATTTCCTTTTTTAAGTATGTAGGAGAAAGATCTGCACATAGAAAAAGCAGCTGAATTCAATGTCAGAAGGTTCAAAATTCATTACCTCCCCTGACCCCTCCCGTCCCGGTCATGAGAAATCCATAACTATCTATATTTCGTTTGTTGAGCCAACGCCTAAACTTTTCACTTTGCCTTTAGCTTCTAGTTCTTCCTTTAGACATTGATGGCGTGTGCATGCTTCTTGCATAGCGGCTTATCCTTCTTTGAATAAAATGGCTGGCCTTCCAAATTCACATGGCACACCTGAAAATTAAGAATACAGGGATATTACGTGTAATCAAAGAGGGTGAAAGGCAGCATTCAAATTTCACGAGTTCAACAAAATGGCGTGTGAGTCCACCCCTAAGAGAAGAAGAAGAAGAATTTGGACTTGATATTCCGCCTTTCACTCCCCTTAAGACAAGGATGTCCAAAGTTCGTTTTGGGGGCCTAATCCTGGTGTAAAATCCCAATTTCCTGGTGTAAAAATCCCAATGAAAGGTCAACAACTTTGGGGTAAAATTGTAAAAAACAACTTCATTCTTAAAAAAAGGTCAACCACTTTAGCCAACCCTCATGCATGTTCACTTCATCAAATCTGGCCCTCTGAAAAAAGTTTGGGCACCTCTGCGAAGGAGTCTCAAAGCGGCTCATAATCTCCTTTCCCTTCCTCCCCCACAACAAACACTCTGTGAGGTGAGTGGGGCTGAGAGACTTCAGAGAAGTGCGACTAGCCCAAGGTCACCCAGCAGCTGCATGTGGAGGAGCAGAGACGCGAACCCGGTTCACCAGATTATGAGTCCACCATTCTTAACCACTACACCAGGCTGGCACTAACCTAGGCAACGATAGAGAGTTGCACACAAAAGTATAGACAGTTGTGGCAGATCCTTTAGGGTGTATGGGGCACTGCCCCCCACCTCAGTCGGCCCTCAGGAAGCCCCTATCTGCACCAAGTGAAAAATGCCTTGGAGGTAGAAAACTAGTGCATCAGGAAGAAGACTACCCTAGAACCCTCCTATATAGTGAACCTCCCACCCACTGCAGTCAGAATGCTACAGTCCAGAAAGAAACTGAAGTGCCACGAATTTGCTGCACGGGAAGATTAGGAACAGGAGGACTGCAAAGCCCCAGCATGTTTTGATGCAAGAAACCTACAGCACAAATGAAGCAGGTGTCATGCCAAGTGTGTCCAAGGGCTTCGATGAACTTGTCTCCTGCTTCGACAGGGAAGTCGCACCCATGGCATTTGGTGCTGAACAAGGCCACATAGTCTAGAAATGGAAACAAAAAACCAACATTTAGAACGCAAAACAGCTTTCTTCCAGATCTGCTGTGTTTATTGTTGTTTGGAATACTATTTTTCTGCCTTACAAACTTGTTCTGGAATGGCTTATTTCTCTCCTTCTGCCACCTATCCAAAACATCTGAGGGCAAATCCATGTGCAAAGTGTGGGCACAGTTTCAAATGGGAGGGTTGGTGGGGAGAATAGGCGCAGTGCCCAGTTATTCCATTCTCTTGGGCAGCCACACTTTTTGCTTGCATGCAGAGGTTTCCGAAAGAACAGAGGGCTGGCGGAGCATAAGACACTGAGCAACACTGTCCGTAAGATTTCCAGGAGCATAAGCTGGGTGTGCAATACCTTTCTCACAGTAGGGCTCTCCATCCTCCATATGGAAGAGGCTATTCCCAAATGGCTTCCTGCAGGCAGCACAGACAAAGCAAGTTGTGTGCCAAGTCTGCCGAAGGGCATGCATCACTTCCTGAAAGGCAAGCAGAGTAGCAGATGTATTGTTCACCACTGAAAGGGCATTCACGGAGAGAGAGACAGATGTGTCAGGCCAGGGCAGTAAAGGATAGGAGGACGATATGTTCTTCCTTAACTGAAGGGAAGAAGCCTTGGGCCAAGTGGAGTGGGGAGGGGGCTAAACCCTTCCCTCCCCAAGTGGCTTTCTCCCGCAAATCTGCTCTGCCAAATGTTTTGCCACAGCTGACACAGATCTGGAATGTCGGCTGGGGGGCAAATCAGCTGGTAGGAAAGGGGTGTGTGTGGATTAAGCATCTCCCACCCGCCCAAAACTTCTGTACAACACATCTTCCTAGGCCCTATTTCCCCAGAAACAGTGAGTGGGCTTTAAGAGCACAAGGTCAATGTGGCCTACAATCTGAGTTTAAAATAATCAAGTTTCTCCCTCCAGGTTCCGGCATCAGCTCAGATGTCTTTTTCAGATGCGAGAATACAAGCTTAGGCTGGCACTTTTTATTTTGGGGAGAAAACCCCTTAAGCGGATGAGCACAGAACTGCTGTTGCCCCACAGGTGACCATTAAGGTTGGGGCTCCGAGAGGATATTTATGGAGCCCAGAGCCCAGAGCCAATGAGACAAGGTCCTCTGACAGAGACATAATTTTGTATTTCTGGGATGGGCAAGAGATTTCAGTTATGGACCAAGACTCTGAGCAAGCTAGAGACCTGCTTTTGGACAGCAGCCATGGAGGACTCCAATCTCAACTGGAGCCCAGGCCAGTTTCTTACCAACCCCCTGGGGAGGGGGAGAGGGGGGATGACTTTGGCATAGCTTGGGGTCCAGCATGGCTGCTTTTCTATCACAATAAAAATAGCCAGGTTAAGTGCACATTTTAGAGAGTGTTTTTAACAAATGAGAGAGAAAAGGGAGAGAGAGAGAGAGAGAGAGAGAGAGAACACAGAGTAATTTATGCACCACTCTGGCCACAGCTAATTACATGTCAGGCAATTGTTTAAATGTGCAGGTGGTGCTATAGGAAATGCTTCCTCTTTTCAGCTTTTTAATTCATACTTACACAGATATTATGCAATTTGATCTGATGCTCTGCCCTTTTCGCCTAGCGCCGACAGCCCACCATCATTTAGGTCAGTAGCATGTCTCATTAGTGAGTCACTGTTAGCAAGTTTAATTAACTTTAATGAATGCGTTGCAAAACAACCCAGTAAATGAGCTTAGATTAAGTTATGGAGTTCACAGCAAACAAAATTCAGCTTGCGAACAGAGGCATGTTTGCTTACTGGCTTAAAGAAAAACCTATCAGTCATGGGCAGCCTGTGCTACTTACAACCTGATCAGAAACTGAACCAAATGGAAGCCAAGACAGCACCCTCAGGTTGACAGGCCCAGAAACTGCCTGACCTCTGGTGCTGGCAAGGTCACAATTCATACTTTTTGATTGCTACTTTGTGGGCCTAACTCTGCCAGAACTCTGCCACACGTATTCTGCTGGCATTTGGCTGTGCTTGCTTGCAGACTTACCCCCATGATCTTGGTGTGGCATCTGGCACAGGTAGGGGCAAAGAATTGCTCATAGCAACGCTCACAGTACACACTGTTCTGCTCCTCAACAAAGCCGACGTCAGCCAGGGATGCCTTGCAGTATGCGCAGTAAAATTCCTCAGGATGCCAAGAACGACCCATGGCTACCAGGAAAGGACCCCTGTAAATCGCAGGACAGAAACATTCAAAGGTTGCAAATGCGAAGGACAGATCTATATAACAACCTTGCATTGCCTTTCTATCATTTTATTTGCTCTGGCTTTCCCCACTGAATCCTGGGAAATGACGGTTTGATGGGGGTCCTGAAAAACCGCCTCCCAGAGGGGAAGTTGTGTCAGTCTGTTGCAACAAAAAGAGTCTTGTTGCACCTTAAAGGCTAATATATTTATTATGGCATAAGTTTCAGCAAAGCACAAGACTTCTGTTTGGTGGTCTGGCTCTAGGGGCACCAACGGAAGGAAGAGCATCTACATACATGGAGATTGCACTACTTTTCCATTCTCTCGAAAAAATCAGACTTCCTGCAACCTAAGAAAAGACAGAAGAACCACAGGGAAAACGCAGGACGACAATGACTGGGTGATGGTGCCATGCAGGTAAAGGTAAAGGGACCCCTGACCATTAGGTCCAGTCGTGACCGACTCTGGGGTTGCAGTGCTCATCTCGCTTTATTGGCTGAGGGAGCCGGCGTACAGCTTCCGGGTCATGTGGACAGCATGACTAAGCTGCTTCTGGAGAACCAGAGCAGTGCACGGAAACCTTCCCTCCGGAGCGGTACCTATTTATCTACTTGCACTGGTGTGCTTTCGAACTGCTAGGTGGGCAGGAGCAGGGACCGAGCAATGGGAGCTCACCCCGTCACAGGGATTCGAACCGCTGACCTTCTGATTGGCAAGTCCTAGGCTCTGTGGTTTAATCCACAGTGCCACCCATGTCGGCGATGGTGCCATGTAGATGCCCCTTAAAAAGTGAGTGAACGCATGGCAGTTTCACGCTAGATACTTGGAGCAGGAAAACCCTAAGGCACCACAACAGCCTTTGCTCAGAATTGTCTGTTAAAATATTGCAAACATCTCTCCCAAACTACGATTCATAAAAGCCATTGCAAAGAAGGGATCACTTCTAAGTTCAAGTCTGTAACATAGAAATGCCCCAAGCTGAAAAATCTGAATGACGCTGACCTAGTATTGCTATCAGGAGAATTAGATAAAGTAGGCATAATTAAATATGCTGTTTCTTTATATTCAGCCTTGGATAAGAACAGTTTGTACTCTCAACCAGATAAGTAGAAATGACACCTTGCGACATAATTCAAGTGCCCTGCATATGCTTCCACTGTCGTTAGTGATTCTTAAGTGCATATAAGTACCTAGTTTTGAATGCATACCAGCTCTGAAGAGCACATAAGAACAGGGCAGATGGTGATATATTCCTACTGAGTATAGACAATGCATAGATAGTCTTATTTCCCAAAAGCGCTAATAATAATTGTTTGGTTCTCTACCATGCTGGCAGGCTGCTAGATACAAAAGCCTGGGAGAAATTCTACTCCAGTATGGCCTATACCAGGGGTCAGCAAACTTTTTTAGCAGGGGGCCGGCCCACTGTCCCTCAGACCTTGGGTGTGTGTGTGGTGGACTATATTGGGGGGGGGGGGAGAACAAATTCCTATGTCCCACAAATAACCCAGAGATACATTTTAAATAAAAGGACACATTCTACACGCTGATTCCTGGACCATCTGCGGGCCGGATTTAGAAGGTGATTTGGCCAGATCCGGCCCCCGGGCCTTAGTTTGCCTACCCATGGCCTATACGAATTATTATTATTATTTCAATGGCTTCAGCGTGGTCTCCTTTGCAAGGTAAGGAGACTAGCAGCAGCAGCAGCAGCAGCATGAGAAAGGTGATCTATTCCACGGATCACCTTAACAGAGAAGATGTTGCCTGCCTTGTGCATAGAGCTTAGCTTTGGGCAAAATCCACTCAAAATCCCATTGCAACAGTGTGCCCCAAGGCCAAAATTAATCAGAGTGACTAACACCAATTGCCTCTGCAGAAGACAATCTTATCAGGGTGGGGAGCATCCTGACCATAAATGCAGAGTGAAAAGAGGCATAGGAAATTAAAGGCTGTCTAGGAAGGAAGGACACCTTCCCCCAAAAGGTCAAAAAACTGGGCTTCTAAGACCATTCCCAGTTTCCTTTGTGTGGTACCACTCTTGCTGCTGGGTCACTTTGCTGCTGAAAATCCCTCCTGCTGTCAGCCAGAATCCAGGGTCTGACTCCATCATCTTCCCCCACTTTGCCTTCCCTGCCTCTGGTTTTTGCACCTCTTGGTCCCTGCTTGCTGCTAAGGGTTCAGAAGTCCTTTTCAGGGCTCTCCTTCGGGGCTTGTCCACACGCCCCCTTGTCCCCTGCCTATAAAGCATGTGCCTGAGCGGTTTTCTGCTTGTGTCGTACTTTCTAGGCATGGGTCCAAGCAGTTTTGCCTTTGCCCCACCGCTATCCCCAAGGAAACCTCCTATTTAGTGCTAAATCGGAGCAGACATCACTCTGATTGATGCTTGCTCCAATTCAGCAGTAAATAGCGGGTTTTCCGGGGGGGGGGGAGGAAGTGTGGAGGAGCCCTCTGTTTCTGCTCCTCCAGCATCCTGCTTGCTGAAGCAGAGATCCTTGTTCAAAAGTCCTTTTCAAAGCTGCTTTCCTTCTTCATCCTTCAGTGCACCCCAGTTTTGCTGCTCATCAGGGAGGGAAAGCTAGCTTTATACAGTCATACCTTGGAAGTCGAGCGGAATCCGTTCCAGAAGTCTGTTTGACTTCCAAAATGTTCAGAAACCAAGGCGCGGCTTCCGATTGGCTGCAGGAAGCCCCTGCACGTAGGACGTTCAGGTTTCAAAAAACGTTCGCAAACCGGAACACTCACTTCCGGGTTTGCGGCGTTTGGGAGCCAAAAGTCTGACTCACAAAGCGTTTGACTTCCGAGATATGACTGTACTGTCTTCCGGAGATCCTTCCACTACAGATTGTAGCTGCCACACCGGCTCCATCTTCGTATCTCTACATGACTGTGTGTTCGAGAAGTATTTTAGCTCTTCCTTAAGTCAGCCTTCCCGGGACGCAGGTGGCGCTGTGGGTAAAAGCCTCAGCGCCTAGGGCTTGCCGATCGAAAGGTCGGCGGTTTGAATCCCTGCGGCAGGGTGCGCTCCCGTCGTTCGGTCCCAGCGCCTGCCAACCTAGCAGTTCGAAAGCACCCCCGGGTGCAAGTAGATAAATAGGGACCGCTTACAAGCGGGAAGGTAAACGGCGTTTCCGTGTGCGGCTCTGGCTCGCCAGAGCAGCGATGTCACGCTGGCCACGTGACCCGGAAGTGTCTCTGGACAGCGCTGGCCCCCGGCCTCTTGAGTGAGATGGGCGCACAACCCTAGAGTCTGGCAAGACTGGCCCGTACGGGCAGGGGTACCTTTACCTTTACCTTTAAGTCAGCCTTCCACAAAGCTTGTGCTGGCTGCATGTAGCCAAGGCCTAGTTTGTGAGTCCAGGGAGAAATAGCAGTGTCGCAGCAGCAGCAGCAGCAGCAGCAGCAGCAGCAGCAGCAGCAGCAACACACCTTTCCTCCTTTCTTAAGGGCCAAAGCCCTGCTCAACCTCCCAGGAATCCTGGTCCACTGGTCTAAATTGCTCTGCGATGTGATGCTTTCCCATTCCCCCTCCCTCAGAAGAGTCCCACTGGCATACCTGATGATGCTATTACAGTGTCCGCACAGCGGAGTCCGGCTGCTGGCTGGGAAGCGCTCAGCCCTTTGAATCGTTCCCCGGGCAACTGCCGGAGCCTGGGAAGAGGCCGGGATGGAAGGAGGCGGGTACGTGGGGGCCGAGGCTGGCGGGGTTGGCACCGGAGCCCCCCGTGGCAGGATATGCTTGGTGACAGTGGTGGTGCTTTTCCCCGGAGCAAACTTCTGGGAGAAGGAGTCGTCCGTGATCCAGGGAGGACGGCTTGAAGGCTCCGCTTGGCTTGGAGCTTGGGTGTGTACAGGCACTGGGGCTGGCGCCGGAGCTGCTGTTAAGGAAAGGAAACAGTGTTCACCCAGCTGCCTTTATTTTCGCTATTGCAAGCCGCAGTATTGACTAGAACCTCCTTCAAGCCACAACGGCCTCAGGTGACCTCAACTGCCGCCCAGCCCATTATCACAAATCAAGTGCTGTGTAGCTGATCCAAGGATATCAGATAAGCCCCTGTCTCTGGAGCCAAATCAACGATAAAAGCCACTGCCGAGTCTCAGTTTGGCCATGATTATCAAGGTCACCTACAGTAACATTGCAGCAATAGCAGCAGCAAGGTTTTATTCAGGGAGGATGGAGGGAGTAATATATCCAGTGCATTTGGATAAAGGCAGCATGCGACTGATATTTATGCAAAACCTGAAGGACTTTTCTTATCCACTGCAGCAAAATATGGAAAGCCCTTGGGTTGTGGCGGCCTATGGTGCAGTCAGAAGTTAAGACCCACTGTTTCAAGGGGGCTTAATTCAGGTAGGTGGGCAAATGTGTGCGCAGTCTCGTTGGAGACTGGTTAGGGTGAAGGCGGAACCTCAGCCAGCCCCTGCCTTCCTGGCTCCTTATTTATATCCAGTCTAGAGTATGGCATTGGCTGTCTTGCTTCCTCCTCCTCCTCAACTCTCAATGTTGTCATTATATAACTAGGTAGGGAGGAGGATGGGGGCAAAAGCTTGGATCTGCCTGGCATTGGCTCTGGCGCCACCTACTGGTAGTCTCCCTGTCTTCCACCCAACCAGTTCCAATAGGTGCCAGACAGCACTGTAGAAAACACACACAAAAAACAACACCTTGGCCAACTGTAATTGAAAAAGGGTGCCAGACATGGGCATAGCCAGGCTTTTTGTTGGGGGGGCAGGCTTTTGTTAGGGGGGCAGAACCTCAGATTTGTATTGATTTGTATTTATTGTTACTGGGTTTTTTGGGGGGGGGGCAGCAGTCTCCCCTGTCTCCCCCCACTTGGCTACGCTCATGGTGCCAGCAGCTTTAATCCAATTTGATTCCTCTCAGCCGGGCAGAAGCTTTGTGTTCCTGTGCAACCAACAAAACAGCAACTTTTTTCTTCCTCCAGAAAGAAACGTGTCTGGGCAAATTCCCCAGAAAGACAGGCTTGCAACTCAGTTCTCATGCATTGCACTGCATAGTTCTTTTGAATGGAGGACAGCTGCAGGGACTCCCCATTCCCCCTCACCCAGGAATGGAAAGTATTTTTGTCTCCATCATAACGCTGTTTCCTGACTCTTACCCCCTCCCCTTAAGGTCCCTCTCTACTTCTATTAAAAGCGTTGGGGCTTGCCTTTCTTCCTGAAATGCGCTGCCTCCAACCCGACCTCCCTGCTCCCCCCTCCCCCCATTTGTTGCTGGTTCCCTTCCAAGACTGCTCACTTTTCCAAAGTGTGAGCTTGATCTGATCTGCTGGCCACAGCTAAATTCCCTCGTACTTCTTGATGCACAGCTGCGGTATTGTTTGGTGGCTTCCTGACCTCTCCCCTCCCTCCCTCCTACATACATACATCCATACATCCATGCACACTGATCCATAGGGTCCCTCCTGAAATCCAGCTGCCTTTTGAGAATGCCCCCATTGTGCTGGGCTCTAATATTATGCTCCCGCCTTAGGTATAATGCCTCCATTCACAAACAGCTGTAATGCCCAGGGCGTAAAATAGGCAGCAGCAATTAACCCTTTGCAGGCACCAAGGAATCAGGATCTCTTCCTCCCTTCCACTCCATAAAAACATAGGAAGCTGCCTTAAACCGAGTCAGCCCTTGGATCCATCTGCAACTATGGGAACTAGCAGAGGCCCTGAAGGGTTTTGGACAAGGGACTCTGCCAGCCTTACCTGGCGCAGACATTCTATGAATGAACCCTTCCCCCAGCTATTGGTTAGCCATGCTTTCATTCTCCTTGCACTCTTGCCAGATAGGCATGTGCTTTTATGGGGTGCATTGAACTACAGCCACAGCAGTTCAGTTGTGTTCTGACAACTCACTCCTGGCTGTGCAAATCAAGAGAGCTCAGCTATAGGATCAGCAGATGCCTGTGATGTTGTTTCTTACTGGACTGCCCCACTTCAGGCGGGAGATGCTGGTTGGGGTCATTGTTTCCAAATGCAGCCGCCCAGTGGCCCCTGGGAAGCTCACAAGGCAGGGCAGCGACAGCTCTTCGCTGTTGGTGTCCGTGGCACCTGGTAGGCTGCCCCTGAACATGGAAGTTCTATTTCACTGTCATGGGTAATAGCTGTTGAGATGGACCTATGCTTTGAGAGAATGTGTCTAATCCTTCTCTAACACCATCTAACCCGGGCACCAGGCTTGATTTCAAAAGCTGCCTTCTGATGATCAGCTTGGACCTCTGGGCAAGAGCCACCTGTCCTGTGGCAGCCTGCTGAGCTGGGGTGGGGAGGGAGAAGGGGTGTAGCGGGCAGGGAGGAGAGAGAGAGAAAGAAAAAGAAAAAGAAAAAGAAAAAGAGAGAAGGGCTTGTGTGTTGTGTGTGTGTGTGTGAGAGAGAGAGAGAGAGAGAGAGAATGGGGGTTTTATTAGGAAGGAGAAGGGAGTGAATGTGTGAGTGAGAGAAGGAGAAAGAGGAAGGGAGGAAGGAAAGATGACAGTGGCCACTTTTTGCTACATTCGAAACATGTTCTTTTCCTCAGAGAATTCTGGGCACTGCAGTTTGTTAAGGGCTTCTGGGAGCTGTAACTGTGTGTGGAGGGGGGGGGAGTAAACTACAATGCCCAGAATTCTTTGAGGGAAACCGTGTGTTTTGTATGTGCATTAAAGGCACGGTGTGTACATGTGCCAAGTCTGATTCTTGCTCTGTCAATAACAAGCTTGTTTTAGATAAGCATTCTTGACAGGCACCCAATAAAATCTTGTCTCACGCTCTGTTCTTCCTTCTCGCCCATATTTTAAAAACCAAAACCCCCTTCTGTTTGGTTTCCCCTCCCCATTTCCCCAGCAGCAACTACAAATATCCCTGCTTCGCAAGCAGGCACCCTCCACCTTAGCTCCAGGCTTCATCTTTTTCATGCGGTAAAGGTAAACAGAGTTTAAAGATATCTGAATCAAATCCCCTGCCCGCCTGCCCCCCATCACAATCACCCTAAGCCCCAGGGCCCTGCTATTTCTGTCTCATGGTATTTATTAAGTCAGTAAAAATTAGAGGGCGATATTTCATCTCTAATTGCCAAGTTCAAAAGCCTCCCACCTCCACGCTCTGTAATTAAACAATGTGATTTTCTTGAGTTGGTAGCGTTCCTGGTTTCCCCTCCCTCCCTCCCTGCCATCACCTCCAAGAATCAGTGCTCACTCATTTGAACATGAAATCATACCTCTATCTCATTGTGTCATTTATATATACACCACAGTGTGGATCCCCTATCACACATTCAACATCGGGGGTGGAGGGAGGAGCGAGATCATGGCAGCAGCCCCTGCTCTCCCGCCAAGTGTGTTCATTTCAGAGGTGTGCACACAAAGGGTTCCCGTTCCACAACCACAAACCCTGAAAAAGAAAATCAGGGTTCTGGATCCTGTGAAAACAGCTCTACGGGCATGCAGTGTGTGTGTGTGTGTGTGTGTGTGAAGGTTCTCCCTTGGCCTGTGTACATGCTATGCCTTTAGAGCTCATTTGAAACACATTATTTCCCTCAGATTCTGGGCACTGGAGTTTACTTTTCACAATTACATTTCCTATCAACACTTAAATAAACTATGAAGCCCAGAATTCTCTGAGGGAAAGAATGTACTTTGAAAGTAAAATGCAGGCCCTCCAAGCGCACCTATTTCCAGGGACAGTCCTGGATTTACAGAAGCCATCCTGCTTTCTGATTTGATCCTGGAATATCCCGCTTTTCCTTAGGACGGCCCTGTTTTCACTGGAGATATGCTGGAGGCTATGGAGTTATGCGACCCCCAAGTCAAGGAGATAAGTAACTATACAGTGGTACCTCGGGTTACATACGCTTCAGGTTACTTACGCTTCAGGTTACAGACTCTGCTAACCCAGAAATAGTGCTTCAGGTTAAGAACTTTGCTTCAGGATGAGAACAGAAATCGTGCTCCGACGGCATGGCGGCAACAGGAGGCCCCATTAGCTAAAGTGGCGCTTCAGGTTAACAACAGTTTCAGGTTAAGAACGGACCTCCGGAACGAATTAAATACTTAACCCGAGGTACCACTGTACAACCTTTAGAAGACACCTGAACGCAGCCCTGTATAGGGAAGGGTTTTTTTTTAAAAAAAAGAAATGTTTAATGTTTTATTATGTTTTTATATATGTTGGAAGCCTCCCAGAGTGGCCGGGGCAACCCAGTCAGATGGGCGGGATATAAATTTATAAAAATTATTATTATTATGATGGAAGAGAACGTCCCTATTTTCATCAGAGAAATGTTGGAGGGTATGAGAATGTGCACACAGATATATTTAAAGTCTTTTTAAAAATCAATGTATTTTAAATGGGGTGAGGGGTGGGACTATCTAAACGGCACTCCTAGTGTGGGAGAGAGAGAGCTCAACTTTCAGGCCTAGCCTTGACAAACTTTGGTCATCTGAGTAGCTATGCGAGGGGGAGAAGAGATGGCTTCATCACACCTATCCACATCCTAAGAAAAGGGTTGCCACCTGTCCTCTTTTTTCAGGACACGTCCTGGAAGTTTTCACAGGTATCTAAAATGAGAGTTGTCTTAGTGATCAACAGTTTAAAGTAGAAGTCGGCAAATGGGTCCTCTTTTTTGCTCTTCCAAATATGGCAACCCCAACTAATGCATTTTATGTGGTGTATTTTCAAACTCCAAACTAGCCCCACCCGCTCATGCTGGACATTAAACCAAAAGTGTTATGAAAGGCTTCCTGGGTCAGCTGGCCTCTTGCCTGCGCTACGAGCTCTTCCTTGCTCATGTGTGCTTTTTTGTATTCATTGGTTCACCTCTGACTGCCGCCACTGGCTCAGCCTTGACAAACCATCACATTGTGGAGCAGACTGCCAGATTCCGTGCAGA